AAAAAAAAGTGAGTTCTTTTCACTATCTTTCTAGAATCTAAGAATTTATGCCAGATTCATATGAATAGTTTACAATGATCATAGACATAGATAACCCCCAACACACATCAAATAAACATAAGCCTCCACTACACAAAGCCAAACACATTTTACCGAATTATCCGTAATTCCAAAATCAAAGAAAACGAAATGGAAACTCTCCGGCCGATTATCATCTCTCATTTCTTTCTCGTTCGATCAAAACTCTCCCCCATGCACCATCTGAATTGGAAGAGGTAGGATCAACATTGTTGTCCATGTCGTATAATACACTACAAAATAATTGTTATACTCCAACGAACAATACTATGATAATATATTTTAATAGAAGTTTCAAAGGATATTCCAATGGTATAGCTTCCGTTGAAATGATTCCTACGACAATTTCAAGGAAAATATTTCGTTGACATGTGTTTTTAATTGGAAAAATTGGTTTTAAGGGAAGACTCACACCTAAGTATCATAACTACAACCACTACTTAGTGTTCTTTGAGTCGAGAGAGGACTACAATGTAGCTTGGATCAAGACGTATTTGTAAGTTTGCGGGTGCTCTGGTCGGGTATTCAAATACACCCCTAATTTCTCTACATCGACAGAGTCGTCAATTGTTCCAGTTTGGTGTTACCTCTTAGGACTTCTCCCTCACCTTTTTTATCCCACTGCCCTTTCGAGGTTGATGCCCCTACGGCCAATCGATCGAGGCTATCCGTCGCACGGGTGTGCGTCAAGGTAGACCTTCGTGGTGCGTTCATCGAGAATTGAGCTCATCTCCATCCAGAAGGTGATATATGAGAGAGTCCCACTTTTTTGTGCCCTCTGCAACCATGTGGGGCACGTTGCGGCTGACTGTTACACTAAGGGCAACAAGCCCGACCATCTCTCCCCCCACGCCGCCGCGTGACTAGTTCGGTCCCTCAATTGTTAAGGGGGACCCAAAGTGGAAGGGTTAAACCCCTGCCTGAGCGCCTGAGTCCCCGAAGGGACAAAAGGACAAGGGTAAGGCTACTATTAAGACTCCCTACCAAGTCAAAAAGGCTCTCCAGTCTAACGGTCCCAATGGAGTGGCTTTGGACAGGCCTAAGTCCAGAGCTACGGGGTTGTTCCCTCATCAGTTCCTCCAGACGGTCGTTATGGCCGTTCACTTCTTCTTCTCTGTCCTCGCTTCAGAGAGGGGGATGAGCCTGCTTCCACCTCTAGCCCTCCAGGAGACACGTTCAGTTCCCCCTTGATGATGACGACCTTTTAGACGACGAAATATGTCTGTCTGTCTCCTTAGCGAGTACCTTTCATCCCCCCCCCTCTCCGCCACCAGCTCGTGCACCACTGCGATGCCCAACGACCCCTTCATCTCGATGGAGGACCCTCAAGAGTTGAGGTCTCCTCCCACCTATTCCATTAGTTGGGACTGAGGCTTCCCCTGCCCCCTCTCTCAAAAGTGAGCATTTGGTTGTTCTCACAACCAGTGCCACTTCTCTGCCAACAGTCGGGGCCTTCTCGGCCCTACCTGCCGACCTTCCCCCCTCTCCCTTGGTCTCGGGGTTTACACCTATCCATGACTGGGCCATGCTCGTTGCAGGTCTAAGAGTTCCCAATTGCCTTCCCTGGAGGACCCTGTTTGTTATGTTTTTGTACTTATTTTTTTGTGTTTTATGTGTTAGTCGAGTCGTTTTTAGGTTCGTTTGAGTGTCTACCGGTCCATTTTGTCGTATTTTATGTGTTTTCATTTTTATTTTGTGTTTTTATATATTGTCGTATTTTCGCGTTTCTTTTGGTGTGAGGTTTAGGTCCAAATAGCAATTCCGGGAAGACGTGCCGTTGTGCCATTTTATGAGACATATATGAGCCATTCGAGTAATTTTCGAGACACGAGGCTAACCCGGGGACAACAAAGTCACAAACAAAACTCGCGGCGAATTGTCTTTCGCACCGTGCTAAATGCCCAACACCCCAACTTCGGAACTCGCGGCCAACATCAATCCGCGACGTGCGAGAAGGGCCATCAACATTTTCGCCACTCGCTGCGAAACACAACTCGCGCCCCGCGAAAACCACCAGCATAGCATCCCCATCACTCGCTGCCAAAGCCCTTCCGCTACCTGCCAAACATCGCATCTCCAAGCACATCACTCGCAGCGAAATGGTTTTCGCACCCGGCGAAAAGCCTCCCCAGCAGCCCTTGGACACACTCGCTTCGAATTCCTTTTGGCAAGCTGCGAAATGTCATTTCAAGTTGATTTTTATGTGCACACTCGCTGCGAACCTATTTTGGCCACCTGCGAACTGCTGAATCATTAAATGTGTGTGCTCCTAGTGTGTGTTTTTGGAGATACACTATATATATGTTTTTTTTTTCCTTTGGTTTTTGGGGATAAAACTCTCATTTTTCACTTTTCCTCTACGGGAAATTAGTTTATGTTTTATTTTTGCTCTCTAGATTAGGAGCTTATGCTATTTTTCGGGAGATTTTCCGACGACTTCGGTTTCATTCAAGTTTCGAGCTTTTGACTCCGTTTTTCATCGTCTACGCAATGGGAGATTGAGTATTTAATTTTAAAGCTCTTTACTTTGTTTTTGCTCCGATTTTACTTATAATGTTCATTAGAGTAAATTGGATTTGATTGATGATGGTGGAAATGCTTGAACTTGATTACTTGCTTGAGTAGATAGAGCCGTTAATTACTTGTTGATCTCGATTAGACGACTGGGGTTAGCAATCAAATGCTCGTAGCTCGTTTATTCCGTATGTCGATTGATTATCATCCCGTTATGGTTATGGCATGAGACTCCGGTGATCTAGTTTGCTAATTGCTCGATATTTGATCTTGCTTTTAATTAATTGCTCGTTTTTAAGTGCTTAATTAGTGTTAATCAACCATCCAATCAATTGCTTAGAATGTTTAGGATTTTATTTTCCCTTTTTGTGATTTGGACGATCATTTAGTAGATAAAACTCCGAATAGCCTTCCTTCGAGATCGACCCGAGTCAGTTAGCTCGGTTATCCCTTGCCCACCAAATTTATACGAAACAAATGGCGCCGTTGCTGGGGAAGGCAAGTAGGACGCCTAGTTTGCTATTTGATTGTCTCTTTTTCTTGTGTTTCTCTTGATTTTTGTGCTTTTTGCTTAATTTCCGTGTTTCTCTTGATTTCTCTTGCTTTTTACTTGGAAGAAGAAACGGAGTCAAAAGCTCGAAACTTTACTCGAAACAATGTCGCCGGAAATTCACCGGAAAACTTGATTCATAAGCTCCAAACCAAAATATAAAAAAGGAAAAAAGAAAATAGAGAGGATTTTCCTAACTTAAAAGTTGAGAAATGAGGGTTGTTTTTAAAAAATACAAAGCATAATGTCTTTATATAGCTACACCACAAACACACACTAAAACACACATTTAACAATTTAGCACTCGTTAGGTAGCGAACTGGTTCGCTAGGTGAATTGGTCTTGTGGTCTTGTGCACACTCGCTAGGCGGCGAACGCGTTCGCTAGGCGAACTGGTCTTGTGATCTTGTGCACACTCGCTAGGCGGCGAACGCGTTCGCTAGGCGAACTGGTCTTGTGGGTCTTGTGCACACTCGCTATGCGGCGAACACGTTCTCTAGGCGAACTAGACTTCCGGATCTCTTGCACAGTAATGACTCGATAATGGCTCGGGGGTTCTCGGAATGTTTCATTCTCTCGGAACTTGGCTCGATTCTTCTCTTTCATCTTCCAATATGGACCTAAAAATTGCACCAAAGACACGAGAAAGTACGCCAAAATACAAACACCAAAGAGAAAATGAAAACACACGGAATCAACTAAAATGGACAGGTTATACAAGAAAACCAACCTAAAACCGACTCAACTACACACATAAAACACATAAAAAGAAGCACAAAAACACAATAAACAAGAGCGCAGACACGTCTCTCGGTGACGCACGGGCAAGCGCAGATGTGTCTCTCGGTGATGTGCATACGACTGCAGGTGAGGTCTTGGTGACGCTGGTGCGGGTATGCGAGCAAAGTGTACCTTTTACGGGTGTTGATGGGCCAACACTCAACTTGAGCTTGATGGTCACTTAGATCGGTGTCTGGGTGCTCGGTTCGAGCTCGTCGGACGCTAGATTCTTCCCGGTTGAAATTATGCTCATCCGGTCGAGTTTTCAAATTTTTTGGGTGAATTCTCGTCGACTCTCTGGAGTGCAACTATTCTACAAAAATAAAAGATAAATAAAGAGAAATAAAAAACACAAGACACCAAAACGAGATGAAAACACGAAAACGAGCAAACCAACGAAATTGACCGAAAAAAGTCTAAAACAAATTAAAACAAGCACAAACAAAACACTCAAAAACATATAAGATAACAACAAGAACATACAAAACATTTGAATGTTAAGAAGGTGATAATTATGGTGTACTGAGTGTCGTATGTAGGATTCTCATTTTTGTTCAAACATTTGCAAAGTATAAACATTATGTGTTCAAAAATATATGAATCTCAATTTATGTTTTTTATATGTATTCTCATCGTGGGAAAACTACATGTGGTAGATTATCGGAGTAAGCTAGCATGAACACTGAATCAGTGGAGGCGAAAGTACTGTTGCTAATTGAAGAAATAATTAATCTATTAAAATTGGTTTTCTTGTTTGCTAATATTTACATAAAACTCATTGTTGACCTAAAGCATTCCCTAGAGTCAGGCGTCAAGACCTTGTACAATCATACTGAATTCAGACCGTATTCCCAGTCAAATTAAACACA